GTGGTTTTCTCAGTCAATTTGACAGACTAACACTATGTCACTTTCTCATGTTCAAATTAAGACAACATCCACATCAATAAAGCTCTCAAGAAAAATTTTTCCCCGATTTCTTCTAGTAATCAAATCATAGTCCATAGGTCATGGTGGAGATCGGAGAACAAATCTACTCATTAATATTTGTTCAAGGTGGAAAATTAGGTGTTTGTTGTCGAGTCCTAAAATTGTAATAGCAGTACTAATTATCAATCGAGGGACCTTTTGAGTGCTCCATCCTATCCACTCAATTAGTTGAGAAACTCTATCAGTTCAGAAAGTAAATAATGGCAACAGATGATCTCACTTGGTAGGTCTATCCAGTCAACATAGTATAGCACTACGTACATTATTACATGAATTAATTACCCCAATTAGAGGGTGCCGTATGTTACCCAAATTGTGCTAGTGTGCAGTGTAGAGAGCGAGCTTGATTGCAGGACGCCAGAAATTTGTGGGGGAACATGTGTGTGATTGGGGGATCTGTTTGTTTGCCAAGAAAGTGATAGAGAGAGAGGGAGAGGGAGAGAGAACTGACCACTTGAACGCCGTGTTTCTCTGCATGGGTGAAGTATGCAAGAACGCTGCCCAGAATCACTGATGTCAACGGGGCCATCGCATTTATCCAAAAGAAGGCCGCCTTTTTTTTGCTCTACAGATTACAGAGATCAAATCAGCAAAAGTTAAACATGTACTCCCTCCTATCAATTTTCATTGTTTTTATTTTTTTATTTTTTTTATTTTTATAATTTATAAATAATTAAGGGCAAACAAAATTTGTTGTCTCACTTTTTAATTAAGAATATTATTTAAATCTCTGATTTTTTTTTATTATTTTAAGAAAACAATTACAATACTTATTTAAATAAATACATATATTTAAGAAATAATAACTAGGGATAATTATAAATTTTTATCAATTACTACTATTATTACATCCTAAATTATCGAAGATACCATTGCCTATTTAAAAAATAAATAAATTGTCAGAGAAAAAAAAAGTATATTAAAATTGAACAGAGTTGGAGAGAGTCAAGGAGTAATCAATTAAAAGCTTAACAAAACACTCTTACAAGAGGTAAAATAAGATTTTACTATTAATTAAGCCTTAACAAAATAAAAAATAAACACTCTTGCCGATTAAACTTATAAGCATATTATCATAATAATATTTTAAAAAAAAATTGTAACTTATTGCTTTTCTCTTGAACAATGGGTGGTAGGGAGGAGATTGCCTTAAATGGAAGGTACTTTTAAGTACTATTAATTTATAAAAAAATGAATTAAAAGACAAGAAAAGAAACTAGTTAAAACCCTAATTTTTGGTCGGTATTTCGGAAAGATCCTTGCCCTAAAAGAAACCTATTCGGAAATGTTAATGGTTTATTTGATTTTGTTGGTGAGTTCGTGTTCCATAAAAGTGGAACAGCAACTAGCTAGCTAGCTAACAAGAAGAAAATGATCACAAATAACAAACAAGAACGTTTTTGTTATATAAATCATATTTACTAGCGAGTAGTAGTTAATGAAAACAATATTTAAAGAGTTTGGGATTGTACAAAGTATCTTGTAAGCAAGAGGAAGCAAAGGAAACAGCAGCCCAGGACAGCACTCTCCCATCTCCACTGCAACATGTCATTGATTATTACATTATGTTAATTAACTACTCCAATTCTACTTTAAAATATTCAAGATTACAGTTGATTACCTTGTGTGTTTGGCTTAAAACGGAGCGCAAGACAGATACAAGGTCGGTCTCGCGAGTAAAATGAACCAAACCAAGAATCCCTTTTAGCTGCTGTAGGCAGACAATTGTGGCTGCGCCACCCATGAAACCCACTATGGTTGCATGTGACAGAAAGTCCACGATGAACCCAAGTCTGCATAATTAAATTAACAGCTGATTAATTTTTTTAATTAGACAGTTAACTGTTTGGTATTGTAGAAATTTAAATTTTTTATTTTGATTCCAAACCAAAAATTTTAAACTAGTAAATACCAATTCAATTAATATCTTGTTGGTGTTAACAATTGATTAATAATATCCTTAATCGTGTATATAGTTTTTGTTTTTAAGTTAAAAATTTAAGCTAATATATACAAACCTGAAGATGCCTAAAGAAGCTTGGAAAACTCCAGCTAAGAAAGTGGCAGTAAGAGCTAACTGAAGGTAGGCCTTTGGGTTTTCAGTAGGGTTTACCGCTTTGCTCAACATCGAAGCCATTAGAAGAGACACCACCGCAAGAGTCCCCACTGCCAAATCTCTCGAGCTTCCCAACATGGCATATAAAAGTGGTGGAACAAAGCTTGAATCTGCCAATGGTAGTAATTAGGAAATACTACAAATATTGTAATTTGGTCTAATTAATGAAGTAATTGTGTTGATTACATGTACTTACAAAGTCCGATGGTTGGTGGCAAATTTGCCAAACTGGCGTAGCTTATGCCTTGAGCGACGGCGAGACTGGCAATGGTGATTCCGGCGATGAGATCGGCTTTGAAGAACTGGAAAGTGTAGCGTGGAGCCCACTCGAAGATGGGAACAATGTACTGAATCCCCAACAAGACCTTCTTCAACGGAGGCTGGTTCTTAAACTGACGAAAGGGATCGTCAGGGAAGAACGTCTCTTTCACAACGGATTTCAGCGACTGCAGAAATGGTTTTGGCGCCGGGACCGCCACCTTGTGACACTCATAATCAGC